TCTTTTCCTTTTATTTCCTTTTCTTTTTTTTCTTTTTTTCAAATATGGGTTCTCGAATATTTGTAGTAGTCTCATGTATTTATACATATTCTTTTTCTTTCTTAGTTTCCTTTCTGGTAGGGAAGAGGGTCGTGAAGTTGTTTCATTAAAAATATTAATTTGCCAAGAGATGATCCCTTTATCTGCAAGGTCGGAATTTATAGAGGGTCCCAGCTCATATATAGATAAGGGTTTATTTCAACAAAAAAAAGATGGATAATAAAGGGAACTTGTTTTCATGTAACTATCTTACACTAAACGTGAGGGGAATTAGAGATAGAAGCAAACGAGAAAAAATGTTTAATTGGTTTAGGACAAAGTCTATAGATATAATATACTTACAAGAAACATACAGTACACCTGATATCGAAAAGAAATGGCAATTGGAGTGGGGCGGGAATTGTATCTTTAGTCATGGTACAAGCCACAGTAGAGGAGTTTTGGTATTAATAAATAGTAAGTTAGACATTGAAATTAGCGACACTTGTGCAGACATAAATGGAAGATATTTATTGATTAGATGTAATATACAAGGTCAGAAGATGTTGCTAGGAAATGTTTATTTTCCTACTGGAAATAACGAAGGGGAGCAAATAAAATGTTTAATGGATTTAAGGGAGTTGTTGTATAGAAACAATTCAGAAGGGAACCCAGTAGTTCTTGGAGGTGATTTTAATGTTATTAGAGACAAGAACTTAGATTATTTTGGACAAGTTACAAAGAAGCAATCAAAATTCAGTAGCAAATTAGAAGAATTCATGGATGAATTTAAATTAAGAGATGTATGGAGAAATAAAAATAAAGATAAAAAACAATATACTTATAGACAAGGGAATCCATTTATGCAAAGCCGTTTGGATTATTTCATTATATCAGAGAATTTAGAACAGATAACATCCAAATGTGACATTATTCCCTCCTTAGCACCCGACCATTCAGCTGTTAATTTGGTTCTGCATGATAGAACGTCTAGACAAATTCAGGGTAAAAGGGGTTATTGGAAGTTCAATAATAGCTTGGTAAATGATAGAGACTATGTTTTAAAGATGAAGGAAGAAATACAGACTTTAAAGAACAAAATGTTATCTGAGATAAAAGACAAGAGAGTATTATGGGACTATATCAAAATGGAAATACGCAGGTTTACAACTAAATTTTCAAAGGAAAGGGCAAGGGAAAGGAAGGAAAAAATAGAAAAGCTAGAAAAAGAAATTGAAGACTTGGAAGAGAATCTACTATCAATCAATAATGTACATTATAAAGATATCCTTGAACAACTGAAAATTAAGAAACAACAACTAAGAGTATTTTATGACTATATTAATGAAGGTTTAAAAATACGATCAAGGGCCTCTTGGTATGAATGTGGAGAGAAGAATACAGCATTTTTTAAACAGCTCATGGAAGCAAATAGAAAGAAAAGTGTAATACAGAAATTAAACGTAAACGGAAAGATTGTTACTAAGGAAAAAGAAATTGTCGAGGGAATAAAACAGTTTTACAGTCAGTTGTATAAAAAAATAGAAGTTGTACTAGATGGAGGTTTAGAATTTTTCCCTAGTAACATGTCAAAATTGAACGAGACCTTAAGGGGTTTAGGTGAAGAAAAGATAGTAGAAAGGGAATGTATAGAAATATTAAAAAATATGAAATTAAATAAATCACCAGGAAATGATGGCTTAAGTGTAGAGTTTTATCTTAAATTTTGGCCGGTAATTGGAGATCTAATCCTTGCATCTTTTAATGAAGCCTTTAATCATGGAGAACTATCGGCCTCTCAGAGACAAGCAGTTATTACCTTGATACATAAAAAAGATAAAGATTCAGACTTTATTAAGAATTACAGACCGATTTCTCTTTTAAATGTGGATTATAAAATTTTAACAAAGATACTTTCAAAGAGATTGCAAGAAATTTTACCTGATATTGTATCTTCTGATCAACTTGGATATGTTAAGAATAGAAACATTGGAGAAGCCATAAGAATAATAGATGACATGATTTTTCATACTTCTTTTTATAAGGAAAATGCTTTTTTGATGGCCTTAGATTTTGAAAAGGCATTCGACTCTGTTTCTCATTGTTTTCTATACAAAGTCTTAAATTCATTTGGTTTTGGACCATTGTTTTGTAAATGGGTGAATATACTTTATACTAATACTGAAAGTTGTGTTATGAATGGAAACGCATCAACAGGTTATTTTAAAGTTGAAAGAGGAATTAGACAAGGAGACCCATTATCTCCATACCTGTTCATTTTATGCATTGAAATTTTAGCTCATACGATTAGAAACAATCAATTGGTAAAAGGAATTTGTTTTGGAAATACAGAAATAAAGCAAGTATTATATGCTGATGATATAACACTCTTCATCAAAGATATGAGTTCAGTTAAGGAAATAGAACACGTTTTAGAAGGTTTTTATAAAATATCAGGATTAAAGTTAAACAAGGATAAGACATATATTCTGCCCCTGGGCCCACAGGTGTCTAATAACACATTTCCGTTTGGGAAACTTGTAGATGCTGTTAAAATATTAGGTGTTTATTTTTCAGTTCATGTAGATATCAAGGAAAAAATGAATTATAAGGAAATATTGAGCAAAATTAAAAAACTACTGACGTGGTGGAAACAGCGTGACCTAACTTTAATGGGTAAAATTCAATTGATGAAAGTATATGGATACTCTAAATTGACATATGTAACATCACTAATGCCAGTTCCAGAGTGGGTATACAAAGAAATGGAAGTAATATGTTTTGATTTTTTGTGGAGAGGTAAAGATAAAATTAAAAGAAGTACAATGATGTTAGACTATCAGCAGGGTGGGCTCAAAATGATGAATTTTAGGTTGTTTGTAAAAGCACAAAAAATAATGTGGATAAAAAGGCTTGTAACAGGAACTCATGATATCAAGTGGAAACAATACTTTAAATATTTAATGAGACCGATAGGAGGTAATTTAATATTTTATTGCAATTATTGGAGAGATACAGTGAAACTTATGTTACCTTCCTTTTATCAGAATCTTCTGAAAGCATGGATAGATATGAAAGAATATGTTAAAACAGAAGAGAGATACAAAGGGAATGAAATATTGTATAATAATAATTTTATTCAACTAGAAGGTCAAACCTTATTTGAGGAAACTTTGTTTTTGAAAAATATATATCGAATTCATCACATTTGTGAAGAAAATGGAGAATTGAAACCTGAAGCTCATTTTATAATGTTAGGTTTGAGCAGAGTGGAAATTGATAAAGTAAAACAAATTTATAAAGTAGCCCCTTATGAATGGAAACAGAATGTTCAACCTTTAAGAAAAGCAATTCACACTGGCTTTAGTTTAGAATTTATTTTTTCAAAGAAAGTGTTTACATTTGAAGATTTAACTGCAAAAATGGTATATAAGAGTCAAATTAAAAAGAATGTAGAAACAAACTCGGCAGGCGGCAATTTAATGACACTTTACAATATTCCAAGAAAAGAAGTAGAAAAGATATATGTTCAACCAAGGATGTGTACCTTAAGTAGTAAACTGCGAGAATTTCAGTTCAAATTATTGCATAATATTTTATATACAAATCATCATTTACATAGATTCAGGTTCCATGAAAATGGTTTGTGCTCATTTTGCAAAAATTTTGAAGAAACTTATCAACATATATTCTTTGAATGTAATATAATAAAGGAAGTCTGGGGGAAATGTGGAGATAGACTTAATTTACCAATTTTGAAGAAATTATCCTGGAAAGAAATTCATATAGGAATAGATGACACTACATTTAAAACAGAGCAATTATTGAACCACATTTTAATTTTGATTAAATATATGATTTTCCACAGTAGAGAGAAGGGAAACCCTCCAAAAGCAAAAGAAATAGAATATAGATTGTTGGAAAATAGAAATGAAGAGAAAAAACTTTCAATGGAAAGAGACACACTTTCAATTCATTTAAGGAAATGGGAAGCTTTGGAAAGTTTAGAATAAATGTTTTCATTTTTTTTTTTTTTTTTCTCAATACACAACTTCCTGACCCTCCCTCTCTTCTCTTTTTTTTTTTTTTTTTTTTTTTTTTGCTCGTTCTTTGTTAGCGTGTGTTTTGTATACTGTTGTACATGTTATGTGTTTAAATGTTGTGTGGGGTGGGGGGGGGGTAGTAGGTGTTTTGTAGCTTTTTCCCTTTTTTATATATATAATTTTTTTTTTTGTCTCCAAAGGAAAATGAAGAGGTGTAACTTTTGTATGTAAATGTAAAAGATCATTGGTAAATTTAAAAAGAACTATGTTAAATTATTTTGTTATTTTGTATCCAATGTATTATGTTATAAATGTACAATTTTCTTTGAGAGAAACGAATAAAAACCTATGAAAAAAAAAAAAAAAATGGTCGGCGACAAAGACATGACTGTCATGGAGTTGGTTTCGAGAAACGGCCCCCAGATCTCTCACTTATTTTGCCTACATTGACATTTTCTACTCTTTGTATTATGACTGTGTTCTTCTATCTTTGTCGTGTAAAGCATTGTCTTGTCCCTTTCTCGTCTCTGTTGGCACCCCCCCTTTTTCTTTCCCCTATGTTGTAGTTCCTTTTGTAGTTACGGATTAGTTAATCTAATTACTCATCATTCCTAAGTATCATTTTAGGTGTTCACACTTGTACAAGCATTGCTTTTTAGTGGACCCCTCTGTTTAAACATGTATTTCTTACATTTGTTTTACATGCTTATAATTGATTTGTAATGCTTTGTTGGAAACATGAATAAATTGAAATTGAAATTGAAATATGTCATGTAGTCTTGAGGATTGTACACACAAAACAACTTGACTTGCGACAACTTTGTACTTTGGCCTGTTTCCGAGGAGTGGATCATATATCGTTTATCCGGTGAATGCCAGATATTTCACAAGCACTCTACTTCCTCTTCACTTTCACTTCCCTTTCACTTGTGTGCATTCAAACTGTTGACTGTAATACTACACCGTTGATTAATGATTGCTAAGTCCTCATTGCAACGGGATAATACAGCAGATTGTTCGTGAGTAATATACCGTTTAGCTGCGCTGAAAAAATGCCAGTGGATGTGGTCCAAACTGTGCACTGTAATAATACGTCGTTGTCTCATAGTAAAGAAGTCGTCATCGCAACGGAATGAAACAAACTGTTCGTAAGTTATATTTTTTACATGTATAATAATTGATACTTTTAATCATTTTAACAACAAAACAATGACATAGGACGCAAGATTTAAAAAAAATGGATGTCTTCTTTATTGGTTGATTGTATTGCTGAGTTTAGTAAGGACGCGTTACAATACGAATGTAATGATCCCATAGTGCACGTATTATTCACGTTCGCCTGTCAGTGACTCAGTATTCATATATTCAGTCATAATATACTGACGAGCAATAGGAATAGAAGACAGAATATGACAAAGAAAATATTCAGTAAAATGCTTGATATTCTATTCAATGTTTCTGCTTTCTAAATTATTTTTCCTCCACCACTCGTACATGTATTTTTCTCTCTTTGCTTTCCTGATCAGCTTCTCTATGTCTTCTACTAAAGTCATATCTCTAATTTTATTTGTATTGTTGTTAACGATGCAGGTTACTTGCTACCATTTACTTTTCATCATGGCGTCTAAGTTCCCAGGAGAGAGAGATGAAATGGTCAAGCTACACACTAGAAAAGGTCATGACATGACATGGTCATGTGACATACACGGTGAGCCAATCAAATTTTACTGCAAAGAACACAAAATCCCCGTTTGTCATCCATGTGCTACCAAAGAGCACTGTCAGAAACCATGTGAGCTAGACGACATCGAGGGAGTCATCTTGGAGAGGAGGAGACAACTGGATGACAAGCAGCAAGAGATAGAGGAAATCAAGAAACAACTGAAAGCGCTTGACTCTAAACTAGATTCCACTGTAACGTCTGCAAGAAACCATTTTCAGTCAGTGAACGATGAACTTAAGATGGCGTTCGAAGACAAATTAAATACTGTGCAAGAGGAGGAAAACCGATCGATTCGTTCTATCGAGCAGGAGGCGGATGAAGAAATACAAATCATTAACGAAAAGAGGGACAGACGGATCAAATCATGCCACGAAGAAGCAGAACAACAACAACTAACCATCAAAGAAAGCCAAGCAAAAGTCGAATCAGAGACAAAGGCAATCAGCAAGGTGGTTGCTAAAAAGATAGAAGATCTCACAAGTAAGAATCAGCATGCAATCAGCAATATGGATAATGTTGACGCCAATATCAAACGAATCAAACAAGATGACAAAACATTAGTGAATGAAGCTCCCCAAGTACTCGCATCCCTAGATGACTATATAAGTTCTATTGTTCATCAAGATGTTAGCGACTGTCTTGACCGAATACAGCGTGAAGTTCAGAGAGTGAAGTTTGTCGAGGGTAAAGTAGGTGGGGAACACTACGAGAGAATTGATGGCTTTATCGGTAAATGGGAGCTTGTCAAGTCCATCCGCATTCCATCGATTGTTATTGAACCTGGGGTGTCTGGTTTGATCAGTGATGATGAGGTATGTGTACGAGACGTAGATAACAATGCCACGTATGTTACAAATATCAGAACTGAACAAACACAGAAAGTCATTGAAGGGAGTAGTGACGTGTGTATTACATGCGCGCCCATAGACAACAACGTAATAGTATGTGGTAACCGAAGACGAGGCTACACTGGTGGCAGCTTCGATGGAGATATCACTCTCTATGACAGACAATGGAAGGTGATTAGAGACATCAGCATACCGAGGCATAGCAGCCCCCCTTATAAATATATTGAAGTGCACGTTGATGTTGACAGGGATGGGATGATCCTCGCTGCTCAGCGCCATGAGTCGAATATCTACGTCATCAACCCTGATGATGGTAATATAGTAAAAACTATTACGATGCAGGGCAAGAATGTGTGGGGTGACATACAAGCCTTGTCATCATCAGGTGATATCGTTGTGAAGACAGGGCAGGATGTATTCACTGTCATCTCACAGTCAGGCGAAGAGAAGGTTATCATACACCGTGAGTGGTTCTTGCCATGGTGTCGCGTTGATAAACTGACCGACACACTCTACATCACACACTGGGATACGGAGCGTAATATCTGCGCAGTTGATCAGGTGTCATATGATGGTATTGCACAGGCATGGAAACATTTGGAATACGAGAAATCAGACGGATACTCCCCCACTAAGCCATGCCTCGTTACTCCTTCTGGTAACCTTGTAGCTTGTGAAGGAGAACAGCTTTTTGTGTACAAAAAGAGATTTATTGTTTGAGTCATCTGAAGAAATAGATGGAATTCCTTATATTGCAGGCTCGGGCCAAAAAACAAAAACAAACATGTTTAGCGTCCTGCCTTATTGAAAAATAGGAAGGAGGAGGCCTATTTTTTTAATCTTCTTTAAAAATGGCCGCTCGGTACATTTTCCCTGACAGTCGGGCTATTTTTCAAGATGGCGGCCGACATTTTTTAAAAATAAATAATCAGAAATAGGTGTATTTTAGCAATGTTTTTTCATGTTTTTTTTCTTTAAAAAAAATTCTAAAAAAATCAAAAAAATCAACAACAACCAAAAAAATATATATATAAAAAAAAGGAGAAAAAATAGGAGGCGGCCCCAAAAAAGGTAGCGGGCGGGGACGCTTTTTAATGGCCTTATTTAGCCTCAACGGAATATAGGATTATTCGATTGTTCATAACTCAGTTGAAGTTAAAGTATCTGTATTTTTCACGAAGGAATTGTTCTTACATATTGAATGCTAACGGATTATTAATACTTTATATTATTTACTTTTAAGAAGTTGTTAGAAACTCCATACCGGGAATACAATAATTGTTCACCTTTCAATAATTACATAATATTTTCTGAATAGAATATTTAAAATTAGATTCACAGACATTTATATGATTTCTTTAGTAATTCAACAACGCGTTTGGAGAGTATTTTTGAGATGCAAAATGTTTTAAATATACCGGATGAACCTAGGTTTTTTTTTAATAGTTATGTACGATTAATTTAGAGTATAATTGTTTTGAATCTTTCATGTGGACCAATATTCAATGTATGGGATTAACATTTCTATCTAAAGGCCTATTGCCACAACCATTGCTCTATTGTTAACACATATTTTGAATAAATCACTGCGCATGGGCGTTGTGCCTAGTCAATGGAAACATGCACGTGTCACGCCAATTTACAAATTGGGTGACAAAACTTGCATGGAGAATTATCGACCTATATCGGTTATTCCTATATTTGCGAAAATTATGGAAAAGGTTGTCTACAATCAGATTCACGATTTTCTAACCAATAATGAATTATTTTAATTTTGAATAATTGTATTAAACAAATTAGAAATGTATGGATTTGATAAATTGTCTTTGGAATGGTTTAAAAATTACTCCAATGAAAGATATCAGTTTACATCTATGAATGGTTATCTATCTGAAAATATGTACATTATTTGTGGTGTCCCGCATGGCTCGCATCTGGGCCCACTGTTATTCACTCTCTTTGTCAATGATATGCCAAAATGTATTAACTGTTGTGAAGGCGCACTATACGCTGACGATACATGCTTATATGCATGAACAAAAGATCCACAGGAAGCTGTACGTAATTTGAATAATGACCTAATAAGTTTATCTAATTTTTTTATCTGAAAATAAACTTATAGTTAATCTGAACAAATGTGAGGCCATGTTCATGGGAACAGTTTAACGTCTGAAGAATATGCAACATGTATTTGATAACTCTAATATCTTTATTGATGGCATAACAATTCAACAAGTCGAATGTTGTAAATATTTGGGAGTCGTTATTGATAGGAATTTGCAGTGGAAAAATCACGTTGAATATGAAAAAAGTTATAAAATATATTTATCTTCTGAGAAGACTCTGGCCATACATTGATCAAAATACGGCACTGTTGTTCTACAAAACCCTCTTGCAAAGCCATTTTGATTACTACAGACCTGATTGGACAAATACCTGCAAAACATATCTTGGAAAATTACAAATTCTACAAAATAGAGCACTTCGTACAGTGTTAAAAGTTGATTATTTGTTTCCTTCAAATGATTTGTACCGATTACTAAAACTAGACCGTCTTAATGAGCGTTGGTCAAAACACCTAGCTTGTATCATGTGTCGATCAATTCACAAACTCTGCCAAACCTTTCTTAGCCAAAACAAAATCTTTCCATCAATCAAAATATAATACAAGATCTGGCCCACGTAAATTGAAAATTACCCAACCCAAAACGAACTACGGTAAACGATCACTTGTCTCTCGAGTTCAAAGCTGTGGAATTCACTTAGTAGTCACAATCCATGCATTTAAACGCTTCCTTCAGAGTAACCCCAAACGATGATTTGTTTTATTCTGTTTTGATTGTTTTATACGCAACAATTTTAAACTTGGTTTCCTCTCTCGCCTGTCTATTCCTTCTTTCTTTCTTTCCCCTTTCCTGCACATTTCTGTTTTTCTCAATATTTTATATAATAATTTTGTTTGTTTGTTTTTGTTTGCTTGATTATCATTGTAATCATATTTCAAATGTATTTTATCAACAATTTGTATTTTTATCTTGTAGATGGGCCACTTTAAAGACAAGCTTTTAAGCTGAAAAGGGTGATCCTTCCCATATGTGGAAAAGAAATAAATAAAAATAAAATAATGAAATGACTTACACGTCTAAAACAGTTTACCATTTTCCCCAATTAAATGCACAAGTGCTCGATATGAACATTCCACTTAATTTTGTTTTCATCATCATTAACGCTTTATATGTTTCTAAAGCTCTTAACTTATGTTAGGAGATGGTCATTAATTGTTACATGTAAAAAAGGACATGTGTAATCATTGACTGGGCAATATACAAACATTTCATTTGATGTATCCCTGATCATCCAAGCTTCAAGATATTCTAGAACTCAGTTTAAATTATTTTTCAATAACCTTTAGATTTGATTATGAGTAGTATAATTATAATCCTATCGTCGGCATAGAGATAAACATTGCAATTCGACCATGACGAATTAATGTCATGTATACAAATAATACAGAACAACGGTCGTAATGGAGAACACTGTCTTACTCCATTTGTTATTACCTTTTCTTTCTATAACAGCAAAACAATTGACAGCAGTTCTTAATTGTTTGAGAGATTACAATAAAACCATTCGAATTATAGCCACTATTACATAGTCAATCATATCGTAAGTCTGCAAATACCGTTCTCAAGCACTGTCCACTATTCACGGGGTTCTAGAACAACTACCCCTCGGGCAATTTTTTTTTCTCGGTGCATTACTTTCGAGATACAAGAAAATAACAACATTTGCCTGAAATTATGAAAGTCTAACTTGTTCTTTTTTTGTGAACCGTTATTTTTTCTGAATCTGCCCTTATCAGGTACTAGTCCGTCAATATTTATTAATGAAATAAAGTGACTGTCTCAATTATTTCAGATACGGCAGTCTGTTCTTATCATGCATGGGTCTAAAGTATCACTATTGTTACGAATTAAAAGGATGATAACTTATATGGTGATAAAACTTTGTATTCATTAAGCCAAAAATCATATTTTCAGATGCAAATAATGATAACCTTTCTGAATATCACTTTTGTTACGAATCAAATGGGTGATAATAATAATCACTCGACATTTAATACTTGTTTGGAACAAATATAGGTGGTTCTTGTAAATATCAGCTTGCATGCTGATGCAGATATACCGGTAGGCTTGCGGGTGCACCATGTGAGAGAGAGGGAGGATTCAGGAGTCCTGAAAAGGACTCTCGGTAATCTTTCTTGAAGGTGTGTAGCAGGCGCGGATCCAGGATTTCTTAGGGGGAGGGGGGGGGGGGGGCTCATTTTGTGGACGTTTGGTCATGAAGCTCATCGCTGAATGGAATGGCAAATCTAGCGTTCAAAACTATTATATTGGTCAAATCTGAAAATACACAAATACACATCGGGAATCAGTGGCACATATTTAGAGGAGGGCACAGAGGAACGCGCCCCAACCCCCTTTTTTTGGCTCTCGAAATTTTGCAAATTTGCACCCCCCTCCCCATTTACCGACAGGGGAAGGGGGGACCCATCTCCCCCAAAACGTAAAATTAACGTGTTTTTATACGGCGTTTTTCCCCCCAGGGGAGTGGGGGGGGGGGGGGGCCGCCCCCCCCCCCCAGGGATCCGCCACTGGTGTGTAGTCCTGAAAAGGACTGTTGGCGTAGTCTTGACAAAGAATGTTGGTTATCTCAGGACACCTCAATCCTCCCTCTCTCTCTCATGGTGCACCCGCAAGCCTACTGTATAAGTATAGGTGGGTTGCTCCAACTAAAATTTGAGAGAAAATAGAGAAATATAACCGAGATACTGCTAAAAAAACTATGTCATGTAGATTCATGATGTGAACGAAATTCACCTTCCATAGGCAATACGCAAATTATGAAATTTTTAATATGTGGCCTCGAAATGAAAAATATGTAACCGAGCTCGCAGAGAATTGTCTTAGCTACAACATATCGACATTATACATGAAATCATAATTCCCGCTCATACTCTATCCAAATATGAAAACAAATTGAGGGTCCCTGTGCATCCCAAAGAGCTATAATGGATTGTATATAGGAAAGGTTTTTGCCCATATACGCTTTGTATTACAAGAGCTTTTCGAAGAAATATGGGAAATACACTGTCGCTCATAAAGTTGGAATATTTTTTATTTTACCCCAATTTATGGAATTATTTTAAAAATAATTTAAAAATAATAGATCTAGATAATAGTATACATTCTCAGATTGTATTGAATAATGAGTTGACAATGTTTGTTTTGCGTGATTGCTAAAGCATGTGTATGCTACTATAATAATAATATAACAATAAAAACGTTACTTATAAAGCGCTTGCCACCGAAGTCTCTAAGCACTAAAATGCTTATCAACTAAGGGACCTACGCCCTTAAGTCATAAATGACAGTAATGAGGATTAATGCCCCACAAAAGGGCACTTAGCCTATATAGCACATAGACACGGTTTTGATACTGGGGCCTCACAGTTACGAGGCCATTGCTTTGTCACTGAACCATGGCTGTAAGCAGCGGGGGCTAGGGTAGGGGGCAGTTTCCATGAATAAATAAAAACACAGAAAATGCAATTAATTTTCAATAATTCATTGCATTTTACCCCGGTCCCCAACATAAAAAGATCCTCTGGACGGCCGTGCATTATGGAAGAAAAATAAACGCGAATGTTGTGTAATGGT